TGTGAATTGTCTGACCTTAGGAGTTTTGATAATTCTGCATGCTAACCATTGTTCCTTACATGTGTTAGAAATGTTTCCTTACTAGCTAATCGTTGTGTTTTTGTGTTGAAGTCATCAAGGTATTGAAGATTATTTTCTAAAACATCTTTAGTTTTATCTTTCATATATATAGTCTTTAAACCATCTGTAATTATAATAGTAGTACAGTGATGTTTTATATTAAGGATTACATGTAGGATCTTGTGCATGCTAGGCAGGCAGCCTGCCATTGAGTTATTAATTTTACTATAATTGTATGTAAAAAATACTGTTTTCCATGGGCTACTGTATCAATTATGTCATGAAAAATGTTAAAGTTTGGTTCTCGGGTGTTTTTATGAAAAAATAATAGAGTTTGGACAGAACTCAGTGTAAATCTAAGTTTTATTCCTAGTTAGACTTGTAAGCAGTTTACTAAATCTCTGCCCTACTATGCTGATTAGGAAAACTGGAGATTGATACCTCCTTTGCTTCATCTTTCTCAGCAGATGTAAAGTGGATCATATGCATAAGACATTTAACATAGTATCATGGCACAATTAATAGCTGCTGGGTTCTATTTTTGTTTTTTGATTTGTCTTTGCTTTTTTGGACAGAGTCTTGCTCTGTGGTTTAGGCTGGTCATGAGTTTACTATGTAGCCCATGCTAGCCTTGAACTTAACAGTAATCCTCCTGTTTCAGCCTCCCAAGTACTGGGATAAAGGTGTGTACTATACTTACTAGTAATATATATGTGAGGTGCAACTTAGCCTTTTTAAAATTTTTTTAATTTCATTTCACTTAGTGTTTAAGAAACACAACACCACAGCCAAAACAGTCACTGGCCTTAGCATCTCAAGTAATTGGGCTTATAGGCATGCACCGCCACTGCTTATGGCTCTCCATTTTATTATCTCTCTGAAACATTAATTCAAACAAGAGAAGCAGTAAGGGAGGAGTAGGAAGAAGCCAGTGTCCCAGTCTCTCTCTACTGAACCCCATGTGTAGTTGCAAGGAGCAAGTGACAGGTGTCTGTCAGTGTGCTGTTGATCATTTTTAGAGTATTGATGGAGCTGGGTAAGTAGCTCAGCAGCACAGCATCTGCCTAGCAAGCATAGTATTGTATGATACCTAGTTCCCGCCTCCAAAAAACAAAACAAAAACACCCCACAGA